CTGGAAATATGTGTTGTTTTTTTTTAACATTCTTTGAGGTAGGTGGGATAAATCCCGACTTTTTGCTACCAACGCAGGCTGTGGAACGAAACCATTCTGAACAACAGCTCCTTGAGCTGCTTGGCCTACATGGGACAAGCAAAAGCTGAATGGCTCCCAGGTTAGTTCAGCTTATGACTGGTCCAAAACCAGGAGCGCCATGAGCTACCCCCTCCAAGAATCTGCTTCTAGCTTCCAACGGATAAGTTGACCCATGCCCTCCCCCTCTTGGAGTTAGCACTACCTATCATGGTGTTAACCCAAGCTGCCATTCTTTTAACTTGTTTGCACCACCCTAGATGACATGAACAAATTTCTAGATTCAATCACACCATAACTGGACATTTGCTTACATCCTATGATCAAAATGCATTGGTCCAATGTATTAAGTTTGTTTTTGTTTTAAACTGTCAAGCTATTATCTACCATAAGGTCGTAAGACAGTCCCAGCCAGTTAAATTATAAATGATATTTAACAGGAAGCTATGAAGTCCAGATTTATTTTTAAAAAACAAGTTCTGGATAACTTGACAACATTTAAAGCATTTTGTAGTAGAATTTAGACTAGCAGGGGGTGGGGAGGGCAGGGAATATCAAACTTCTTGACATATGGATGATACCCGAGTTAGTTGGTATTATAATATTTCTCCTCCCCCATAGCAACAAACAATAATCCAGGCACATTATCAAAGTATTAAGATTCAGGCACTGGCCACCACTGGAAGCAGGGTCACCAAAATCAGGGAAATGGGTAATCTGATCCAACCGAACAGCTCTGCTCATCTTACAAGATGCATGCGTCTTCTCTCTGGTATTTTTGGCATCTTGTTCAATCAAGATTCCCTAGTTTTGCATTTTCTCTACAGTCATCTAGTGCAGGCAGTGCTTCCGGCTGAGTATTGCCTCAGGACTTTTGCTTTAGAGCTTCACAAGATAGCATGCATATAATGCCTCACCGAAGTCCATGTCAACATCGCCTCAAGTAGAGGAAAACTGCTGTTTGGTATCGCTACACCCACTGCTTTGTACTGTATGCATACCTGGAAGTAGTGTTGTACGTTAAGAAGCATTGTGGACACCATTGTATCCAACCCCCTAAAAACTTTAAAAATAGCAGCTCTAGCCCTTGGGCCTTCTCTAATAAGTTAGATTTCATCACCGAGGGAGAAATGTGCGCATGTGTACATGTGCACCCCTATTACACATTACTTACAACTCTGAGCAACATTTAGTTTCTGTTAATAACATGCTATTCCTGTACTTGTTTTTAGACATGATCTACAATGTGGTTCCAATTTCAGTTCACTTTTGTCTAAGTCCAATGAACACGGTTCAGAAGATGCTTGTTAGGCTTCGTATAGGGTTATGCTGCCACAGCCAGAAAGATACCTTTCACTGAAATTACTCTCATAGAACATCATATTCTGATTTTTGGATACTTCACATAATAAGACATTGCAAATTTGAAACCAAATGAGACTTTTCTGCTATGGTTATAAAATCTATCGTACAAAACATCATTTTTCCATGCCACCAACCGAGTATTTTGATCCCGGCTCACAGACTCATTGTGGCGTTTAGTGCATCTCCAACATGAAATATGAACACATTGTAATTCTGACAACCACAAAACCCAGAGGCAGAAGCTTGGAAAGGTTCCCAGTAAGAGCTACAAGGGAGAGAAATAGCCAGACTTTGTAATGCTCATTAAAAGAACAAAAGTAATTCAAAAGTCTTAAATTTCACCAACAGGTTTCAACAGAAAGGCAGCCTTAAGGTTTCCTATATAGGAACTGAAAGGCAAAGGTTCAGAAATACAAAAAGAAAAAACTCTTGTTTGGAAGGGGTCATATTACAGTTAGATGCAATTTGCCCCTTAGTAGTCCCTTCTGGATTTGCTGAAATATCAGTTATTGAACTCACCAAAGACTGATGTCCTCACTTACGCTGCTTTGGCCTTTCTGAAGAGGTCCTCCTTCCTTTGCCTGTAAAGTATATTAAAAGAGTGTTACAAAGATGCCCAATAAGTGCCCAGGGTGCCATGCAAAAATCAGTAATCAATCTAACAGTTCAATAGACCAACAGGATAGATAAAGAGGTATCTGCTTCCACATCCTGTGAGAATAGACTGAGAGGCAGTATTTAACCTCTATTTTACTCCAAGCACTAAGTGAGGGTTACTTGGCTTCGAAACATTTTTCCTTTTAGTCTGCCTGAACCCCTGCGTGGTGACCTTCAGGCATACTGAGACATGCCCTCATTTCCTTCACAGTGTCGTTTTCTTACCCTCACGTATCCCTTCTTTTGCTTTCCCTGCAGAGATCCAGGAAAACAAACATCTCTCAGCATATCTGAAGGCCATCAAGCAAGGATCCTAGCAGATCAAGGGAAGAAATGTTTCAAAACCATGTAACCCTCACGTTAACATCTGAAAAAGTAAGATGGTGCTTATGAAAGCTCATGCTCCTCGAGCTAATTTATAAGGTGCCCCTCTGCCCCACCTTCTTCAGAACATCCCACCAGGGAACTCTCCCCAGGTATACCAGGAAGGGGAACCCAATATATCCTTCAGTAGGAAGACAATGCCACTGAAGTGTGACTTAAAAGCAAAACTAGAGGAAACCTTGAGGCTTTAACCTTTTATAGGAGATGCGGGTTCTGCCTAAACCTGAATTTGTCCAGTGTTGCTAACTAAGTCTTCAAACCAGCAAGGCAACTCATTGACCAATACAGGTGGAATTGTCAAAGATGCTCAGTATTGCTCTCAGCACTTTCATTGTACCATTGGCTGCAATGGGAAGAGAATTTGAGCAATACTGAGGGCTTTTGAAAAATTGCACCTATTATAGGGCTCATGTACATGCCACAATTTTTGCCATTTCTTGCACTGCAACTGTGTGTCTGTTTGCATGAGCAAGATTTCCCAATGCTTTAAGCTATTTCTTGTGCATTAACATAGTTAAACTATGTCTAAATTTAGACATAGTTTAGTTTAGCTCACCAGGAATTAAAGCGTTGCATCCATGGATTCATTGTGTGCAAACACAAAGGCACTCAAAGACATGTAATGAGCCTCTTTGTCCACCAGATGGTGCTGCAACTTTTTTGTAGTTCACCCCCTTTGAACTCTTTTGGTTTCAAATTACTTCCACTTTTTTTTTTTCTTGTGTGGTTGTTTCTTTTTTCCCCCCTTGTTCGCCAGCTCCCTGCTTCCACAGCTGCATGGCAGGGCATGACCATGGGCATGGGGTGCATGGGGGACCCCAGGTCAGGGGGGGCAGTGCTGAACTGTCCCACTCTCCTGCGGCACCAGCCGGGGACCCAGCTTAATTCATTTGAAAACCTTGTGTGTGTGCAAGCACAGATGCAACGCTCCAAGGCTTAATTCATTTGAACACCTAGCGTGTGTAAACACAGATGCAATGCTCTGAAATTAGAAAGTTTTAATTGTTTAAACGTATTTAATTTAATGAGGATTAAAAGCCATTAGCTTTTGAAAATCCCAACATAAGTCAAAACTTGGGCAAAGTCTGCTGAGATCCCAGGTACATTTTTTCAAAAGCAACTGACTTAGGAGACCAAGTCAATGAGACTTAAACATTTTTTGAAAATTTTACTTACAGGGTTCAAGGCTGCTTTCTGTATACAAACTTCAGTTAGGGACTAGACAAATGACACACTCACACTATTGCAAACAGCAAAGGAAAAACAATACAAACACTTAACCAGGGTAATCCCATACAGAAGCAAACCGGAAAGAATTAGGGGAAAGCCCCACAAATGTAGATGACACCGGTTTGGGGTACAGCCTGTGCACGTCCATAGTGGAGTGCCTATTTGGTAAACAAGAAGCTACTGCTTGCTTACTTGTCACCTAGAAATGACCACCGCTATCTCAGGTAGCTAAACATCTGTCCATTCTTCCTCGGGTATAATTTGTCAATATACAGCTAGTGTATGTATACCATCTGTCTATGCCTTTAAACCTGCATTAATATGACTAGGACTGACAAAAACTGCTCTCTCCAGCTAATGGTCTGAACGTATAGAATTGAAAATGTGACTCAACAAGCTGAAAGGAAACATACAAGTCATATATATGCCACAGAAGTTAGTATTTTAAGAGTTTCATTGAGAAAATACAACAGCTTATTTTAATAAAAGACTTGAAGCAATACTTTAGAGAGACGGGTTTTCATGCGCAAGTGGTAATTTTGCAAAAAAATAGGTCATTGAGGCAACACATTGATCATTCTGCCTTGGGCACAAGCAAAACAAAACAATTTACTACATTTAACTGTTCAGTGCTTTAACATAAAACTTAAGACAATGGACAGAACTATGCAAAGGGCTAAATTTACTGTGCACAGATTGTGACCCTGACCCTGAGGACACTTGCAGACATCAATAATTTTACCGAACAGTCACACCGAACTCACTGGATCCACTGCCATATACATGCATTTGCAGCATCAGAACCTGTATGTGTAAGCAGCACTAAACATAAGATGCAAAGTAGGTCAACCAGTCTTCTAGCACTACTAAACAAAATTCTAGGATGAAAAGTGAAATCTGCCACAACCAATTCAAAAGGGTCATTTCAGACCTGAATATATCAAGTAGAAAGCCTTTTCCATGAATCACAAATCTATATCTTGAAGTCCACCTTAAACTATGGTTCAATGAATACATAATGCTATAAGATCTTCCTATATGTTCTAGCAGTGAATCAAGCATAAAAACAGAAGAAATGGGTTCCAGGCATAAGATATTCAGTATCTAAATTGTAAAATTCTAGCTTACAAAACAGTCACTCAAAGTTATGTTTCCATTTCAAGTGGAAAGAAACAAGTAGTACCATTTGGTATGTTTATTTTTTAGGGGAAATCATCATGTATCTATCTCAAGTTGTATTGGGAAAGATTCATATCCTCCTCTAGAGCAGTCATCCCACCCTCCAACGAGACAGTCAAAAGACTGGCTGTCAGCTCTCTAACCAATAAGGGCTCTGTCAAGCGGTGACCAGTTCCCCTTAAGTCTGTCCCATAACCAAATCAAATGACCCCTTTAAAGCCAAAGACAACATCCCTTTCCCTTCACATCTCATCCTTTGTACCATTCTGTTCCAAGCAACTGGGAAGTACTAGACATGACTCTAGATCAGGGGCCAGCAACCCCCGGCACACGTGCCGAGCATGGCACGTAAGGCCATTTTGCTTGGCGCACTGCTGCCAGCCCTGGCTCCAAGCAGCTGCTGCCAGCCACAGAGCCCAGCCTGCTCCCAGCAGACGGCTGGGAGGCTGCAAGCCCTGCTGCAAGCAAACTGGTCTTGCTGGGTCTGCTGCAGCCAGGAGGCTGCAAACAGCTGCTCCGGGCTCCGGCATGTCGGCACTTGGGCACCTTCCAAGGTAGACACTGTGTTTTTTTCAGCACTCCGGCCAAAAATCATTGCCTACTTCTACTCTAGATCCTTCATTACCACTCCAAGATGGTAGAGGTTATTAAAACTTGAGATTCTTGCCTCCTCTCCATATTTTGTATTTTTCATGCTTGCGAAGGCAGAAGCTTGCAGCCTCAGAAAACTCCTCCGGTGTGTCTTATCTCCTTCAAACAGTATAATTATTTTAGAGTACAAACAAGCATTTGTGGGACCTGGCTCAGGTTTAAGTGGCTTTGTTTAAGCCACTTAAACTAGACTTGGGATTGCTGTGTACAACCATTTGCTGCTTGCTATGAGGCAGCTTTTGCAGATAGATCCAAGTAAGCTGGGGAGCAGGGAGGGAACGGCAGGTCTGGAAGTGGGCTGGTGGGTCTGCAGGGGGTGCTTCCCAGTCTAAGTAGGGAGTAAAAATAACCCAGTCTGGGTTCGGGGGTGAGGGCAGGTAAAAACAGCATAGCCCCAGGGCTGTGGAGAATGGCTAGGCTTCCCCTGTCCCAGGGCTGTGCTGTGAAAGCATGCAGGTGTTCTCTAGGCCAGGTTAACCCTCACTAGGTTGGGTTAACCCCAAGCCAATCTAAAGTTAGTTCTTGTCAGACAAGAACTAACTTTGCCCTAAAAATGGCATGCCTGGTCTAATCTAAGTCCTTTAAATGCTTTCACACCTGGGTGTGTAGATCACAAAGTAAATGTAATGTTTGTATGTAACCTTAGTCTGCAGGGACTTGTCCTTTTAGATCATTGTTAACACATGAACCCAGTAGCACTGCATCAGGAATTAATTTGGCTACTTTTGAAAATCAAGGTCTGTTATCAAACTTTATTTAAAAGCATTTCAGAGCATGAAAGAGGGGACAGAACAGAAAAGCATCTCTAGGAAAGTTTCCACATCCTACAGGAAAAGCAATTAGTGGCAGATTAGGATCTTAAAAGCCATTTGCTATTTTGTACCATTATGTTAGTGATTAGAAGAAATATTCTAGATGATTCACAATATACTAAAAAGCTGAAAATAAGCTAGGATAAGGGACCATCATATTAGGTGCTGCACTAACTTTTGGAAAAACACGGTCCCTTGCCCCAAGGAGCTGATGGGTCAGATTTGATTTTTCTCTGCACTACAGAGAAAAAGCTTACCACTGCTATTAAGTCTTTTAGACATTCACTCCCCTGCACTGACTAAATTAAGGGGGGAAAAAAAGAAGAAAGGGCGTGTTTGAGCAGACACAACAAGATGGTCTTATCTAAGAAATGAAGCTAGAGTTGTTTAATTTTAGTTTTTGTGTGGCCCTGGATAACAGGACAGCAAACTAATAACACTATTCATATTCATACTCTTGGAAAAGATACCCTGCAATTATATCCCAATCATTTAACAAAATATAGCAACACAGGGCTTGGGAAAAAAAGCAAAACAAAACATTATGATAGACCCATGCCGTGGCGAAGCAGCAGTGCAATTACAAGAATACGCTGTGTCGAGTGTGTTCTCCCTATATGAAATATGAACACATTAGCCATTCAAGCAATAAGCATTTTCTAAACACG